TCTCTCTCTCTCTCTCTCTCTCTCTCTCTCTCTCTCTCTCTCTCTTTCTCTCTCTCCTCTCTCTCTCTCTCTCTCTCTCTCTCTCCTCTCTCTCTCTCTCTCTCTCTCTCTCTCTCTCTCTCTCTCTCTCTCTCTCTCTCTCTCTCTCTCTCTCTCTCTCTCTCTCTCTCTCTCTCTCTCTCTCTCTCTCTCTCTCTCTCTCTCTCTCTCTCTCTCTCTCTCTCTCTCTCTCTCTCTCCCTCTCCATTTCCGATCCCCTTCTTTCTTCTCCCTTCCCCATCTTTTACCCTCTCCCACCTCTCCTCACTCCCCCTTTACTCCCTTTACCCACCCCCCTTTCGTTTTCTCTCATCTCCTCCCTCCCCTTTTCCGTTTCTCTTTCTGCCTCCTCCCCTCTCTTTCTCTCCCCTTCACCCACCCCCTCCTACTTTTCCTCTACCCCCTTTCCACCCCCATCCCCCCACCGCTCGTTTTCTCTCCTCTCTCTTCCTCCTTTCCCTCCCCCTGTCTTCTCCCTCCCCTCCCCCCCCCACCCCCCACCTCCCGCGCCCACTGCCGATTTTATCCCACTCGCTCTCGGCTCCGTCGACTCACCTTTCCTTTTTCCTAATTCTTTTCTTCCGCAGTTTTGTTTTCCATTTAAACACCATTTGTCCTTGTCCGTTATACAATGCTGTTTTTGTTTTTGACTCCTTCACCTCGCCTACGAGCTTTTTCTTGTTAACTTTAATGAGATTCATGAGTCGAGATTGCAGAGCTCCCTGACCCCCGGCCAGCAAACATGCTCGCGCCGGTGGATAGTTGCCGTGTTCTTTTTCCGCATGCAGGGGGGGGGGGGGCGTATGCGGCAGCGTATGTGCGCGCTTGTACTGTATTTATGGAAGGTGTGTTTTAGTACACTCAGAGAGCCCTACATATCGATTATTCATTTATTTATTTTACTTTAAGTAGATGCAATATAAAATATAAAATACACATTATTTTTCTGCCTACTTATCTATATTCTCTTTGTTTATATGCAACTCATTTTTGTATTATAGACAGATATAGATTTAGATATATTATATATATATATATAATTATATTATATATATATATATATATATATATATATATATATATATATATATATATATATATATATATATATATATATAGTATATATATATATATATATATATATATATATATATATATATATATATATATATATATATATCTATATATATATATATTAATATATATATATATATATATATATATATATATATATATATATACTATATATATATATATATATATATATATATATATATATATATGTATATATATATATATATATATATATATATATATAGTATATATATATATATAATATATATATATATATATATATATATATATATATATATATATACACATAATATATATATATATACGTATAGATGCAAATATTAATATAGCTATATGCGTGGGTGTAGTTTCTGACTGACTGGGAAAGCCTTTTCAAACAAAATAGTGCAAAAATCAAGAACATGAAATATGCATGTCTTCTCCTCTGGCACAATCCCCAGCCCATTTTTGTTCTCTTATCACATTCTATAATGCCTTTTACTTTAGTCTGTTCGCTTATCCACGATGACCTTTTCCTATCTCCCATGTTTATTCCCAACGCCGGTCCCACCAGCGCTTGCTTTGCCCTTCGTTTGCTTTTTCAGTCTCCATGCTTCCCATCTGCAAGTCATACCTGGGAGTTACATTGCTTTGTACTGCTGTTTCTCGTACGTTGGTGAGGGAAGCTTCATGGTGTGCCTGTGTGTTCTAAGTATTTCTTTTTAGGGAGAGGTAATGCGCCTTTTGTTCTATGTACATTGTCTCTTGCTGTAGGGAAGTTAAGGCCATTAAGGTTTCTTATTTTCAATACTTATTAAGTCGCTATGTACATTGCTATTAAAAATTTTACATTTTATCTCTTTTTTTTTAAGCGTCCAAACCTTTGCCCCCACTGCAGACCCTCCAGAGTTTATGAAATTAAAGATACATCTGCAAATCTTAGATAGCTTATGTACACTCCATTTGTATTTAATCCGATTATTAATCTGTTTACTTAGATTATCTTCATTTTATTTATTAAGATTTGTGCAGCTTAGTGTTGCTTTTCCTTTGGGTACGAACTCTGGGGGAGATTTGAATTTAGAAATTACTTTTGTTCTACTATTGATTTGCTGTGCACTCTATACATAACGAGAGTAAATGGATTTATTCATGGTGAATATTTACTCCTATTTCCTTTAATTTTCCGTTTGTGGCTGATCATCTTTTTATACCTTTAAGAGCGGTTTCTTTTCCAGTATTTTCTGTGATGTTTGGAGTATAATAATTTTTTACATTTTCCAAGCATAACCTCGCCTTGTTTGTCTTCCACAAATAACCCTTTCTTCAAACCTATCTAATCCTTTTTTTTTTGAGGGTTTGCATAAATGTTTTTCCCTCTTTTCCA